ACAAACGCCTATTTGGGAGGGGGACATGATTTTCTTTCTAGCCTCGGGTGCAAAAGGATCTGGCTACGGCTATGCTCCTGCGGCGCTCGTGCGGCTGCCGGCTGAATGTGGAAGACGCTGCAGATGGAAAGGGGCGGGACACATCTCCCCATGTGCAACATCGGCCACACGAGCACCGCAGGAGGACAGGACGCCGGGGCCTCTAGGACGCACTGGAATGTAAGCCGGCCGACTCCCTGCGTTCAGGGGCGGGAGGGGGTGTGGGGGTGTATTGAAGTCAATGGCACCGCAGCCATGCCCCCCACCCACAGTGTGATCGCCTGCACACGGAGCGCAGACACATTAGTGCCTGCATTGCGGTCCAGTGCAATCTGCAAAAATAGTGCTTGCAGCATTTTTCCGGATCGCACTGGACTGGAACGGAGGAACTAATGTGCCAGGATGTAGGCGATTGCACTGTGGTCGAGGGGCCTGGCTGCGGTCCCATTGACTTCAATGCACCACCACGCCCCCTCCCGCCCCCGAATGCAGGTGTTTTTTTGTTGGTAGATCTCATTGAGCACGTCATTTGAAAAGTAGATCTCCCGACGAAAAATTGTGGGCGCCCCTGTTATAGAGTGTCACTTGAGTGACAGCTCTAAGACTACTGGAGCTGCTGACGTTACACCCAAGATGGCAGCACCCTGCAGGAGTCTCAGGGCTTTTGGATGTCTACACAAGGTAGTTGTTTACAGGTAGTTAACATGCACAGCACACATTAAATACATATATAATCACATGGGAAGATTTGGTTGAAATGAATGGTCAGGGTCTCTTAGATGCAAGGACATTGAGCTTGACTCGGCGTCAGCCTCTTGCAGTCTACTCAGGGCCGGTGCTAGGATTTTTGCCTAGACAATTAGACTAATAATAATATAATATAATAATATACTCTTGATGAAAATGATGCCCCTCTGTGAGATTTGCCATGGTCCAGATGTCCGCGTGGAAGGACCCACAGACAAATGATCTGCTCAGGCATGCTCAGCCTCGGAAATTCCACCAGAGCTTTCCATGAACCCACCCTCTTTCATTAGGCAGTTTCAAAAACTAGATGGCGGCAATGCACCTTACATACATACCAAGTAAACAGGTGCATCTGCAATGAATGAAATACATTGTATGGACTCACTCTCGCTGTACCTTGATTTTTAAATACCTGAATTAAATGCTATAGGTTCACCTAAACATGCTTCTTCTGGTAAAATCTGTGTACAGCTAGTCACATGCATGAATTATCCTATACAAGGGCAAACATGCTATACATAAATATATACATGCAGCTATAATACATGAGTACAGTCAATTCAAAAATGAAGTGTATGGTTTAAATCTCCTATTTTGATCATGTGACCATGAAATAAGTCTCCTGGACTTCTCCAAACATTTATCCTGCATTGTAAACAAATGCCATCAATCTCCTAAAATGGACATCAATCTGCTAGCATGACTTATAAAGGTGAGATCAACTGCTGTAACTTTCCCAGTTGAACATCTGAGGGGAGGATTTTACAGAAAATGTGGCAAGGATTTAAGGAATTAAAACTGTACCAATATAAGTACAAAACTATTGCAAAAGACTGACGTGAATGGGAGTTAGTAATGCAAAATCATTGTGTGTCAGTTTCAACAAATGTCATCAATACAATCAATCATTTACATGGCAGACCAATTATAGACTAAAGGTGCCCATATACTGGTTGAATTTCAGCATAATTTTAATATACTGGATGACATTCGCACTGTGTGCCGGCGTCACCTGTCAGAATATAATGTAAACAACAGGATACCTTGATTGGCAAGCTGTTTGTGGTGATGGAGGAATCGGGTCAATTTTTTCCATTCACTCCTTGGGTTGAACGAAAAACAATGATAGGTGTATGGCCAGCTTAAGTGAAAGACTTGTGCGTCTGCATCTTCATAAGTTTTTAGTGCATTTTTGTTGTGCCTTTTAAAATCGTTTTTCATGCATTGTGCATTTTTGTTTTGGTCAATGAAGGTGAAATAAAGTATAGGTTGCTGGGGGGGTTAGTTTGCTATTATGTCATAAAATGCACAGAAATGTTACATGCATTTTTCATATGCTCTTATTGAAGTCTATGGGACAAAAACACATTATGGCAAATGTATTAAACTGGAAACCAGTCAGCTTCTATCTTTAATTTTCAAAGCTGAACTGAACAAATGGAAGAGAAAAGCTGATTGGTTGCTATGAGCAACTGCTCCAGATTATGTCTGCACCAGTTTTAATAAACTCACCCCACTCTGTAGTAGCAGAAAAAGCACCTGCGCCTTACCAAAAATAAAACTGCAGCATGTTGCATAAATGTGAATGGGCAGCATAAAAAAAATGTGATTTCCATTGTCGTCTATGTATGATGGCAGATGTGTGACAAAAAACTGTAGT